GTCCTGATCAGAGATATGAATGGAAAGTACTCCCTCAAGGGATGGCTAACAGTCCAACTATGTGTCAAATATATGTTAACAAAGCAATCCAGCCACTTAGAAATCAAAATCCTGAACTACAAATATTTCACTATATGGATGATGTATTATTGGCACATAAAGATAAAAACATATTGCTGGAATGTTATGCCACACTTACAAACTTATTAAAAAATTATAATCTAGAGATAGCAATAGATAAAGTACAATTAAATTTTCCAATTAATTATTTAGGAGTTCTACTATCCTCAACCATGGTCCGTCCACCAAAAATTCAAATACGAGTAGATCAACTCAAATCACTTAACGACTTTCAAAAGTTATTGGGAGACATAAATTGGATAAGGCCTTATCTAGGTATACCAACAGGAGAGTTGGGACCTTTATTTGATATTCTAAAAGGTCCATCAGATCCAAATTCACCCCGCATGTTAACTCCTAAAGCAAGAAAGGCATTAAAAATTATTGAAACATATATGGAAAACATACATTTGGATAGAATTGATATAAGTTTGCCTTTATTATTTATTGTACTACCAACAAAAAATATTCCTACAGGAGTATTTTGGCAAGAAGGTCCATTATTGTGGATACATTTACCTTATTCTCCTAACACTATTCTTACTAGGTATCCTGAGGCTGTAGGACAATTAATACTCAAAGGAATAAAAGCAGCGAAGGGAGTGTTTGGAATTTCTCCCAATAAAATTATTACTCCATATACTATGGATCAAATTGATGAGTTAGCTAATGAGTTAAATACTTGGGCAATAATCATGTGTAAATCTAATGTTTCATTTGATAATCATTTACCATCTAATCCTTTGTTGTCTTTTTGGTCTAAGCATCCTGTAGTTTTTCCTAAAATGACAAGAAAAACACCTATCATGAATGCTCCAAATATATTCACTGATGGGTCAAATAATGGTACAGCAGCAGTAGTTACCCCTGATCAAACTTTTACATTTTTAGTACCCAAACAATCAGCTCAAAAGGTAGAGCTTAATGCAGTTTTACAAGCTTTTTTGATGTTTAAAGATTCTGTATTTAATTTATTTTCTGATAGTCAGTATGTAGTTAATGCTATAGTATCTCTTGAAGATGCTGGTAGGATTTCCCCTTCTTCTACTGTTTTCTCTTTGTTTTCCACTATATAAAGTCTAATCTGGGACAGAAAAGATCCATTCTTTATAGGACATATTAGGGCACATACAGGATTGCCTGGAGCCCTTAGTTTAGGCAATGATTTAACAGATAAAACTACACATGACATACATATTTTCTCTACATTTGAAGAAGCTACAAATTTTCATAAAAGGTTTCATGTTAATGCTAATACTTTACAAAAGCGTTTTAAAATAACTAAGGAACAAGCCAGACATATAATAAAACAATGTCAAAATTGTGTGACATTTTTACCACAAGTTAATCTTGGAGTCAATCCTAGAGGACTGATACCTAACCATATTTGGCAGATGGACGTCACACACTTGCCAGAATTTGGAAAATTAAAATATTTACATGTTACAGTCGATACTTCTTCTGGATTTTTGATGGGCTCCCTTCATGCCGGAGAAAAAACTAAAGATGTTATAGCTCATTGCTTACAAAATTTTGCCACTGTGGGCGTTCCTAAACAGTTAAAAACCGATAATGGTCCTGGCTATACCTCTACCTCTTTTAAACAATTTTGCTCATCATTTGGTATTACTCATATAACAGGAATCCCATACAATCCACAGGGACAAGGCATAGTTGAAAGAGCTCATCAAACTATTAAAACATACTTATTAAAGCAAAAAGAGGGAATTGGAAGGGGGTATATATCCCCCAAAGATAAACTTAAAATAACGCTTTTTACTCTAAACTTTTTAAATTTGGATTCATCAGGACTTAGTGCTGCGGAAAGGCATATGTATCCAAAAAATGTACATAAGCCTAAAGTACTTTGGAAAGATATTCTAACAGGACAATGGAAAGGTCCTGACCCAGTGATTGTTTGGAGTCGGGGGTCTGTTTGTGTTTTTCCACAGGGAGAACAGCAGCCCATTTGGATTCCAGAGAGATTAACTAAAACAGTTTCTACAGATCGAAAAGAAGATGATTTGACTCAAATCCATAACAGCTGATATCCAGAACTCCAGCTTGGCCATTCTTACATCTGCGACAGTGATTAACCAGTGATGCAATTTTTATTTCCTTGCCAGCGCACCCCATGTTAATTGTGGTAGTGCTGGCATATCTTTGCTGATGGTGTCACCAGTGATGCAATTTTTCCCAAGGAGCCGTCAGTTGGCTTGGTGTCGTGGCATTTCTGTATCCTCCTCCCTTCTGCTAGTGATGGTCTAAAATTTGGGGGCCAATGGCTTATGCTGGACCGGTAGTCAGTGACGGGTATGATCCAATTGCAGTGGTATCAACCTAAGACAGGAGGCTGACGCCTAAAGGTCAGTTTTCCGATGACGGGTAAGAACCATATGTTGAATTGGACAACCTACCAGGCACGGTCCATAAGCCACATTAACCTCACTCCCCCACTGGCACCAAGGCCAAATTTGGGGGCCAACAGAGGTGAGGCAAAGAACCTCACCCCCCCACTGGTGCATAGACCTATCCACAAGTATGGCTGTATGCTGGACCGGTAGTCAGTGACGGGTATGATTCAATTGCAGTGGTATCAACCTAAGACAGGAGGCTGACGCCTAAAGGTCAGTTTTCCGATGACGGGTAAGAACCATATGTTGAATTGGACAACCTACCAGGCACGGTCCTTAAGCCACATTGCTTGTTGTTTAATTAATCAGAAGGGGGGAGATGCTGGGAGCCATTAGCCAAGTAAGTATGACAATTTCCTTGCCAGCGTACCCCATGTTGCAGTGACATTGAATGTACTTAACCTTGCTCAAGGACCAAGGCAGATTAGGGTGTTCCCGGTTTTAAGATAATCTTGTTTAGGGCGTTCCCAGTTTAGGTTCCAGGTTTAAGGTTTAAGATTATTCCTGCTGGGAATAGGGCGTATCCTGCTGCCTGAGTTCCCCTTGAGTTCTCACGGGATTCAGACAGTATATTTTGGAGATAGAAGCCCAGTGGAGGTGAATTTGGGAGAGAAGGAGGATTTGGGAAGAGAACGTGGATTTCCCCAGAACGTGATTGTAGACGGCTGGTGTGAGTTCGGGAATAAAGAGTTGCTGTTTGAATCTACAAGCTGTGTGGTGGCTCGTGATTGTGTGCCCAGCCGGACTGCGGCATTTGTGCCCAGCCAGACTGTGGCATATCCAGTAGTGAAATTTCTGTTATGTGATAGTTCTGTTTTCAGTGTTTTGAGAAATCTCCATAATTTTTAATAATGCTGTACTAGTTTACTTTCCTACTAGTGGTGTGTAAAAGTTCACTTTTATTTACATCCTGGCCAGCATTTATTTTATTATTTATTCTCTCTCTCTCTCTCTCTCTCTCTCTCTCTCTCTCTCTCTCTCTCTCTCTCTCTCATAAACTCAGGGTACACTGAGCTACATCTCCAGACCTTTTTATTTTTTGTTTTGACACAGGGTCTTGCCAACTTGAGGTTGGTCTTGAACTTGTGATCCACTGAGATGATATGATATCTCATTTAACTATCTCTAATGATTAGTGAAATTGAGTATTTTTTTTTGTGTGTGTGTGATTATTGGCCATTTTTATGTCTTCTTTTGAGAGGTGTCTGTTTAGGGACAGTCTCTTCAATATATGGTGCTGGTAATGTTGGATAGACATATGCAGAGGAATGAAACTAGACTCCCCTTTTTCTCACCATGCACAAAAATCAACTCAAAATAGATCAAAGACCTGAACCTTAAACCAGAAACTGCCAGATTTCTACAAGAAAGGAGGTGGAACACTTCAAGATGTTGGTGTTGGCAATGATTGTTTAGACAGAACTCCAAAAGTACAGGCAACAAAAATAAAAACAGACAAATGGGATTACATCATGCCAAGAAGCTTTTGCACAGCAAAGGGAATAATCAACAGGATTCCGACAACCTACTGAGTGGGAGAAAATATTTGCAAATGGTACTTCTGACATCTAGAATGTATAAGGAATTCAAAAAGATGAGCACCAAAAAAAAAAAAAATCAAACAACCTAATTTAAAAGTGGGCTAAAAACTCTTCTTTGCCACCTATGACCTTGAAAGGAACCCTTGGAATCTTCTAGTTCAGCCTGCCCTTCAGATACAAGGGAGCTGGAGCCCAGAGCGATAGAGACACTTGCCTGAGGGTCGGTGCACTCCCACAGGTGGACAAGCCAGAGCAAGGAGAACAGGATGACGCAGAGAAAGCTCAGCCTTGAGATTGCCAAATGCTCATGTTCTTACCCTTGAAATAGCTTTCGTTAGCCACTTCAGTTTTCTTTTCTCAAAAACAACGACGATGCTTGTTTTAGTTAGCTTTCTATCTCTATGACCAAAATGACTCTAAGAACAGCTTAGAGGAGCGAACGTTGATTGGGGGCTCGTGGTTTCAGAGGTTCAGTCCACAGACAGTGGGTTCCATTGCTCTGGGGCTATGGTGAGGCAGGATTCATGGAGGAAGGGCTCACTGCAGGAAAGGTGCTCACGGCATGAGATTCAGGAAGCAGAAAAAGAGGAGAAGGAGCCACGAGGAAGATGCACCCTTCTAGGTCACACTCCCCAACTCCTCCAGCCACACCCACCTGCCTACAGTTACTACCCAATGCATTCAAACTAGGATGAGCTGATTAGGTTACCACTCTCATAATCTAGTCATTTCACCTCTGAATAACCCTGCATTAGTAGAAGTGTTGGGGGGGGACACCTCATATTCAAACCATAATACTTACTCTGGATTATGTTGAGATTCGTCTATAAAGTGCAGAGTATGCACTAGCTTTCAAACAAATGTTGGACATCATGTTGGACATCTTGGACATCAGGCTGGCTTTGTTTTCAATAAGACAGTGGTATGAGTTTTTTGTTTTTTTTTTCTGAAAGTCCCAGCATAACAGGTCATAAGTCTTAAGAGGACATTGCTGGCTTACACACATCATCCCAGCATAATTATTGATAACATCCCATTTCACTCTCAAAAGTATCTCTATTTTAAGTGAATCATAGGGTTTGCTTAAGAACGAAAGTTCTACCTAGGACTTTCTCAGTGTCTTCCTTAGGGCATCTTTCAGTTCCTTGTTCCTCATACTGTAGATCAACGGGTTTAAAATGGGGGTGATAAAAGTATAGACCACAGACACCACCCGGCCCATCTCAGGAGAGTAACTGGAACTGGGGGACAAATAGACAAAGCTGGTGCAGCCGTACTGCAGGAGGACCACGAGGATGTGAGAGGAGCAGGTGGAGAAGGCTCGGTGGCGCCCTTCTGTGGACCCGATCCGTAGAATAGCTGCCACGATGAAGACGTAGGAGACGGAGATCAGTGACAGTGGGATGCTTAGGACCATGAAGCTGATGACGTACAGGGCCGTCTGGTGAACACGTGTGTCGGCACAAGCCAGGCGCAGGACTGCGGGCATGTCACAGTAGAAGTGGTAGATCTCGTTTTTGTGGCAGAATGGGAGATGGAAGATTAAGATGGTCAGTGGCAGTGACAGCAGGAATCCCAGCACCAGGGACCCCACCATCAGCTCCACACACAAGGACCAGCTCATGATGAGGGTGTATCTCAGGGGGTAGCAGATTGCTATAAACCGATCATAAGCCATGACCGCAAGTAGGACACAATCAGCTCCTCCCAAGAAGACAAAGAAAAACATCTGAGTGCCACAGCCAGTGATGGAAACGGGGGTTTTGCCCATTGAAAGAAGGTTGGCCAAAGCCAGGGGGGCAATGGAAGACGTGTAGAGGATTTCCAGGAGAGCCAGGTTAGCCAGGAAGAAGTACATGGGGGTGTGGAGGGAGTGCTTGATCTGGACAGTGAGAGCAATTGTGGCATTTCCACCGAGGCTGGTCAGGTACATGGCTAAGAAAGCCACAAAAATCACCATCTGCACTTTGGGGTCAGGTGAGAACGGGCGAAAGAAGAATTCTATTCCTGCTGTTTTATTTATCCCTTCCATGGGTAGTGTGTGGGACCCACCTAAGGGAGGATGGCACGAGTGTCAAGGCGTCCCTTGTTTCATAGTTTTCTCAGCTGTTCCGTGTCAGAGCACTTGCTGAAGGGACCCTGGCAACGACAGGCAAACCTTCATGTTAGAGGAGGTCATTTCACCTTATGATCCACACATTTGTCATTTCCTCATCTTTCCTCTCCATTCCCCGCCCCAAGTCCCACAGATTGAAAAATCCTTCCTCATCTGTCCTGAGAGTGAAAAAAATTATTTTTACATTTCTACATTACCTCATACATCAGAATTCCTCTAGATTTCCTCTTTAAGTCGGGTGAAGTGTGGCGATTCTCATCTAATTTGTAAGCTAGTTGTGACTGCTAAAAGATGGTTCATGAAAAACATCTTGACTATAGATGCATCTGCATGGCCTGATGGACCCATGTGGTATAACTGTTTGGCTTGCCTGAAGAGCCGAATAAAATCTTAATTTGGGGATTTTGATTATGGGATAAACAGAGAAAGAAGAACAGTGTTATAATCCACAGGCAGAGGCTCTGCCTGGAGCACACGTATCTGTGATTTCTGGAGATGTTCACACTGGTTGTAGCAGAACCAGGGAGGATCTGTTGATACCTAGTCAAAGAACAGACTCCAATATCAGATGCATGCAAACAAAAACCATTTTTCCTTACAAGTCATTCTTTTAAAAAATTTTGTTTTTTAGTTGTAGATGAACAGGGTACCTTTATTCTCTTTATTTATTTTTTTATCTGGTATTGAAGATCGAATCCAGTGCTTCACACATGCTAGGTGAGTGCTCTACCACTGAATCACAACCCCAGCCCCACAAGTCATTCTTGAATAACTTTTTATACATGTGTAAAGTGACTCTCCTGGGTACTTTTTGGAAGAAACTCCTGTGAACATTTTTGGGCAACGGCATCCAGAAAAAAAAACAAGAGCCAAAGCTGGATCCCTTTACTGTTAATATGTTAAATCATCAGAAGTTTCTTTTTTTCCAAAGGCCAACAATGGCAACACACAGGGGATTTCACATGGTTCAACAGGAGACTTCTACAAGTGAACTCTGAATGTATCATGTGAAACATTCAGATGTTCAAAAAAGTTACCACACTCGTACAGCAATAATAATGGTCATTTTTATTGTGCCCTCACTAGCATTGGTACAGTGTGCCAATCATTTACAGGCACAATCTCCCTTAAGGTGGCTCTTCAGTTCTACAAAACAGGTACTTCCATTATTCATATTTTTTTTTCAGATGAAGTTTTAGTGTTTAAAGACAGAGAAGGAGTTAATTTCTAAGTCAGTCTGAAATCAAGTCCGTTTCTTTTAAAAATTAATTTCTAAAGAAGTGCATTATAGTCATACATAATAGTGGGATTAAATGTGACATATTTATATGTGCACACAACACAGTCTTGTCCCTGTCTTTCCTCCCCTCTGCCTCCCCTTCCTCTACTCTCATGGTCTCCCTCATATTGTTATGACATCCAACCTGATCTTTTCTCCAATTTTCTCTCTAGACAAGTCTTTTAATCACTAAAATAAACTGTCTCACTAAGCAATGCACCAGGTGCAAGGCTGAATGATACATGTCTGAGGGAGAGAAAATTCTTTAATTGCAATTGTCCTTTATGGACAAACTGTCACTACAAATGGGGTGGGCCACCAACAACCCTGAATCACTATGAAGTCACCCCAATTTGTAATATCTTTTTTTTGTTCCTTTTTCTTCCTTTCTCACCACATACGCAATCAATGACATTTATTTTAATATATACCTTTGACAAAGCTTTATGAAGGCCCTACTCTATACAAAGCATATCCTTTGTTTCTGGGAGAAGAGGGAGAAATGTGGAAAATCAGAAGGCTCCAACTTGAATGAGAAATACGGTAATAAAGTTGAATTCAGTTAAGTGCTGCCATAAAACAAAGATGTACTAGGAGAACACAGGCAATAATGCCTTTTGAAAAATCATATAACATTACAATTATTTTTTTACCTTTATATTTATTTGTTTATTTTTATGTGGTGCTGAGGATCAAACCCAGTGCCTCATACCTGCCAGGCAAGTGCTCTACCACTAATAACCATCACCCCAGCCCTACAATCATCATCATTATTATTATCTTTTAGTTGCCAATGGACCTTTATTTTATTTATTTATATGAAGTGCTGAGGATTGAACCCAGTGCCTTACACATGCTAGAAAAGCGCTCTACCACTGAGCCACAACCCCAGCCCTACAATTATTTTTAATGCATAGAGTTTCCCACGTGAAGGAAACTTCTGGTCCTTCCTTTTATAACAGAAGTAGATAGTGTTTTGTTTTTTTTAAACATCTACAAAGTTGAAATTTGGAATGATGGTTACATTTTAAAAAGTTGAAGAGTCCTTAGAATCATATCTCTGTATCAGAGCTGATTAGTATTGAGCTCTGGTTATCTGATTTAGAATGTGATTCTTCTGACCTTTCTGAACAGACTTTTCTCTGCCTCACATCCCTTTACTGTTAATATGTTAATAGTTTGAAGATCAAGTTGGAAGAGGGTTTCACAGTATGTATTCTTGAATTTCCCTTGAACTCTCTGGATCAAACTCTGGTCCTAAATAGGAGCTGGACTTTGACTCTTACTACAAAAATTCCAACTTAGCCTCTGCTATCTGCCTACCCCAAACCTTGGCCTAATTACAGAGGATTTTTCTAATATGATCTGAGGTCTAGGAGTAAATTCTTACCTTTGGATGGGTCCACATGAACTTCAAGCCATTGCAGATTTACATTTATCCTTTGCTGAATGCAGGCCTCCAGGGACCTGCCTCAAGGTCCTACTGTCCTTAGGAGATGTCCAGGTTGAGCATGTTGATTACTGTTAGATCTCACATGGCTGATTCAGGGTACTATGTTGAAATGCTTCTTCAACCAGATCTGATTCCTACTAGATCAATTCTACCCTTTTCTTCTTTGTACAAAGTGACAGGCAGGTTTTACTTATCATCTCTCTGTAGCTTGGAACTTAACCTTTAAAGTTGCACTGCTATTCAGACTTAAAATTATCATCAAATAATGACATTTGTAACTAACCTGAACAATGAGTCATTGTTGGTCCCCTGAGGTGACTGAGCTCTGTTTGGGAAGTGTAAATCAACAAGATTAAATACAGTGTACCTAAGAGTTAAAATTGCATCAGGATTATTCCATTGGTACATCTTCCCTAGGGGCTGTATTTTAGTAAGTTCTTCATGTTTTCAGTGATAAGGTCAGTTGGGGGAAAGAAAAAATATTGTTTTCATTTGACTTATCTAGAAATAATTTTTAAAAGGAAATTTCCACACATAGCCTTATTTTATTTTATTTTGTCATAACCACAGTATCTCCCACACTCTGGGAAATAATTTCCTCCTAATTTTACTTCTGTCCCTCTGATATTCTTTCTTAGTCTGCTTTGCTGGCTTGTCCTACTTTCGTAATTTCTACCCAAGCCGGGGCTTGGTCCAGGGTCTTTCTTTCTACTTGCATATGTTTGTAGGTGATTCAACTTAGTTTTTTTTTTGGCTTAAAATATAACTAATACATGTTTCTTCTGCCAACCTCATACATGGACTCCAGCTTGTATGTGAACTTGTCCATCTGACATCCTACTTGGGTTACTAATCAGTATCTCCCATTTAACAGACTGAAGTAGAATTTTAAATCCATTATTCCCTTGAGAGTTAGGTATTGGGCCATTCAAATCCCGAAAGTCATCTCCAAATAAATTTGTTAGTTAAAATTAATGAATACTAATGCTTCATTCAATTTCATAGAATTTTATGGAAAAGATTCGGAGAGGCAGTTTTTCTTTCAGTATTTCTTGGAGAAATGATAGATCATCTTAATCTCCCCCCCCCCTTTCCTAAGTCATTCATGAAATCATAGAATTAGAAGGAATTTTAGAGGTCATCTAGTGATTGCCACCTTGGATCTCCAAATTTTACAAGATCTTTAATATTATTAAGAATTTATTAGGCTCTTCAAGGTAATTTTAGTTCAAAAACTACTAATACAGTCATACATTTTCCTGAGATAAAGATATAAGTACGTACAATACTTATTATTATTTGCTTTTTTGTTTGTTTGTTTGTTTAAGAGATTCTATTAGAGCTGGGTGCGGTGATGCACACCTATAATTCCATTGGCTTGGGAGGCTGAGGCAGGAGGATCATGATTTCAAAGCCAGCCTCAGCAAAAGCGAGGCAATAAGCAATTCAGTGAGACCCTGTCTCTAAATAAAATACAAAATAGGGCTGGGGATGTGGCTCAGTGATCGAGTGCCCCTGAGTTCAATCCCTGGTACTACCCCTGACCAAAAAAAGATTCTATTAGGAAGACCAATTTTCAAGAACACAGAGGTTTGAAGCAATGTAGAAGAATGGCAAAAATCCCTGGTCTGAATTCAGGATGATTTAAATTCAGACCTTGTCTCAGCCACTCAGTGGATGTATGCTTTTAAATTAATTAACCTCGGTATCCTGATCTGCAAAATGAGAGTAATAGTACTGTTTTTCACTCATGGGGCAGTTGTGGAGGTTGAGTGAGATGATACATGTGCAGTGTTTATCACAGTATCTCACAGTTTCTTAGCTGGATCACTATTAATGTGGGGTTCACAGAGAAGCTACCGTCAAGTCTGAATGGTGCAGAGAATGCTGATAGGTGCTGATCTAGTTTAACATCAGTAACAATAAGTCTCTTCATTCCCAATATTTTTGACAGGTAGAAATCAACTACACTAGATCATTAACCACAGAGAAAAAATTAGGAGGAAGCAAAGACTTCATCCTATGGAAGTAAAAATACAACTTCGGGTATACATTTAATTGTCTCTGACACATTAGGTTTAATTTATCAATATGCAAGTTTGTTTGAATCAGGAAATCAATCCATCAAAATGTATTATATCAACAAACTCTCAGAATAAAATATTGAAGAGATATGGAAAAAATCTATTTCAGTGAAGATTCTTTACAAAAGCTCTGAATAAAATAGAAATAGAAATAAACCATTTAAGTATATAATGGTTGACTTATAGTCA